TCCCAAAAGTAGTCACAGTAGATTGAAGAAAAGAAGAAAAAAAAAGTGGAAATGATTGGATATTATAAATACACTTAGGTCTTCGTGTCATAAATTGATACTGATATAAAGGCATAATAAGGTGTTCTTGCCCCAAAAAAGTAGTCACGAGTTGAAGATAAGAGAAAAAAAGTGGAAAAGATTGGATATTATAATTTTCATTGTTGTTTTATTGTGAAGACCTAATGCATTAAATAAAAAAAATAAATTGAATTGTTTTTCACTGTTTTAGATTTCATTCCTTCGATTTTCTTAGAACAGGAAACTTTTATTTTTATTTTTAAATTTCTTCTTCTTATTTTTTACTTAGTTTTAATATTCTTACATAAGTGAATTATTTCAACTGATAACGTACCTAATAAAGACTTCAGAGATAAGTGATAACACTCTGTTCCTTATTGCTCAACAGAGAGCTAATAAAACCTGTTTGTTATCTTGTCAAAATGAGATTATGTACAAAACAATATAATTTTTTTTTTCAATATCCTTCGATTCTGGCATTGGGGGTGGGGGGGGCGGTACATACATTACGTATATATACTATATTATATCTATATAATTATATATTATTAATATATTATATAATATACTTATATATATAATTACTATATTATGTATTGTATATATATGTTGTGTGTGGTGTGCTGTGTGTGTTGTGTATTTATGTATACTCTGTGTATTTCATATTAGTATACAATTGTACTATTTATAATACTCCACATATATATATAGTATCATATCTATAACTACTAATTATACATAATATATTATTATATATATTAATATTTATATATTATACTATCTATTATATATATATATATATATATATACTATATTGTGTATTGTGGTGTGTGTGTGTGTGTGTGTGTTGTGTGTGTTTTGTGTGTGTGTGTGTGTGTGTATGTATGTATGTAAATATATGTATGTATTGCGCACACACACATTACGTGTTTGTTTGGGTATGTGTGTACGTATATTACATCCAAATCACCATATACATACACAACCACACAGCACACACATACACACCACACCCACCCACACACACACAACAGACACACACACACCACACACCACACCACACCACACACATCATATATAACCTATCTGATTCACTATTATCTTTAATGCTCACCCTCTACTCATACCATTTACATAACACACTATATATAGACTGACTTATACATACCATACATACTATTTACTCTATTACTTAATATTATCACTATACTCTTACTTACTACTATAAGTTAGATATCTATATTACCTGCTATTATATATTTATATACTATCTATTATATATACTATATATATATATTATACTCGTGATACCCTAATTGAGCCCTTATCTTATCTATTATCACCTATATTACTATATTTATCTTTACTTATATATATACACACTATACAATATCACCACCATCATACTCTTTACATTACCATAATAGGTGCAAACTAAACATTACATACTTACCCTATAAACTTCTTATTACTTATATATGCTCCCGTAATTACCTATTGTAATACCTCTTAATATAATATATAATACACTACCCGTCTGCATTGATATATATACTGTCATTACTCCTTCCACTCTCCTCTCACTCGTATTACTCATAGCTCCCTAGTTACTCCCATAATAGTTGATATACTTACTCATTACTCTTATTCAATTATTTTATATACTATCATAGTTCCAGTGTGTGTGTGTGTGTGTGTGTCTTGTATATATCCGATCCACATTACAGCCGACAATGTGCCTGGCATAGCTGATTACATGCATGTATCCTCGATAGTGTGATTAGCACTGTATACTTTATCTCTCAGCGTAAGCATTAACATTACCGTTAGCTTATCACTACTACTAGCGAATCTGCCACACTACAGAAGCACAGCACCGCACCACACTACCACACTACCAGTTAGCGTCGATCCTATCGCCTCAGCGCACGACAGCACACACACACACACCACACACACAAAATGAAGCAAGCATCATCACGACAAAGCGCAACATGAGGATATACTATAGTATATAGGGTGATACTATATACTACGTAGTAATATATACCTATATTTTTATACTAATATTATTTACATATTCACCCACACACACACGAGACCTGATATGTATGTTGTTGTTGAGCTGTATCTGCTAAAGCTTATTTCATGTATAGAGTCGCTTTATACGTTACCTAAGGCCTTTTATTCAGCGTCGAGAAATCGAGAGCCGGGAGCACGAAATAAAGACCCAATTACGCGCAACATTCTTTTTCTGCCAGAAATCTGTGTCTTCGTCTCTTTTACTCCCGACCTGGCTACTCTAATGCTCCTTACTCTCTCTGCGTGGTTCTGCTCTCTGTTTCCTATTCATATTTGTTCTATTTTCATCTTTTCTTTATCTCCCGTATCCGCATGCTCGGCTTGCTGTTCGCTCTTCGAGGATAAGTGTTTCTTATCTTGATGTACGAGGAAAGTCTTTGTTGACCCATTTTGTTAAAAAGTCTGACTACAACGTTGTAGTTTAGTTCGTCATTTGTTAAAATTATAACCTAGTGTGATAAGGGTAGGGATTTAAAATGATAAATGCTTTTTTCCAATGTTTTTCTATATTATTCACTATTAATTATATATTCTTATTACTATCATCACTGTATTTATGATTATTGTTATTATTAATTATTTATTGTTGATCATCAGTTATCTTTCATTTTATTCATGGAGTTATGCCTGTTGTCTCTGTGGTTGTATACCGGGTATATGTTATATTTATGCTGTATATTTGGATTAAAACCCGTAATATTATTATATTACTTAAGATATCACTTATCTATATTATATAGAAGTTACGCGTATCATATTATACATATACAGTATACTTATGCTCACGTATACACATTTTACTTATTACTCTATACCATCCTCTAATATTGTACTATATGCTTTCTATATAATACATTACATATAATATTACATCACCACACACCACCCACACACACACACACACACACGACATACACACACACACATATATATTATATACTATATATATATCATATAATTATATATATATCGTATATTATCTACACTCACTATATACTATATATACCTATAGCTCACTATATCTAATATATATGTATGCTACTTAATCTGTGCTATATGTTATGATATTATCACTGTTATTATATCATATGCTGTATATTGTGATATAATTACTCACACATCATATATACATACTTTATACCTTACTATATATTACTATGTATTACGTCTATCTTATATCGTATCTTCTTAACTACATTAAATTCTTTTATACATATATATACCATATATAATATATTATTATATACTATATATATATACTATATATATATCTATCATTATCATCCTTACTTCTCTCTTCTTATCCCTTATTTACTATATCTATTATACTATTATGCTACTCATTCATTCTACACCACATCTCCTCTCATACTTATCACCTATATTACTATTATTATTATATATTATACTACTAACTTAATATATAAACCTAATACTATAATATTACACACCATAACACATACACTAAACATACACTAATAATATTTATACATTAACATCATACACCTAACACACCACCCATACATCAATATATCAATATACACACAACCCACCCTACTACTACTAATATGAAAAGTAGATAATATATATATTAGTATATATATATATATATATTACATATCTGAAAGACGTGTCCTAGGCCATTAATCCAACCGATGACAATATTCATTCACTGGTTAGCACCTCCTATTGTTATTTACCTGCGTATAAGCCTGATATATGTATATATTTAACACACACACACACATCACAGACACACACACCCACACGACACCACACAGCGAACACACACACACACCCGACGAACAAAGCACATATAGTACATATACACAACCTTATATATACATATATATATGAGAGATCCATACTATAGAATATAGATATATATGATTGAATAATATTATATAGTGAGAGAATGAGATAGATACGATAGAGATATAGAGTGAGTAGTAAGGTAATATAATATATATATTATATATATCCATGTATGCATGGCCTCAGTCCACGGAATCATAATCGAAAAAGTGAGACCATGAGCTGAAATTCACCCAAACTGATTGCAGTTCGATCTGCTATTGAGAACACAAACGACTTCCTTCCGCCGATAAAAAAAAAACGAAATGATTCCTCGCCGCTGAAAGGAAGAGAGAGCGAAAACGAAATAGACAAGGACGCGAAACCAGTAAAACCAACGAAGCATAAATCTAGACGCAAGTGAGAGGCGGGCGGGTTCGTGAATGGCGGGCATTGAGTGCACTGAAGACGGCCAACGGGGGGAGCTGAAAAGGCCTCAAGTGAATGTAACTCCCACGCACACACGCACGCACGCGGTGTGTGTACAGACAGGTTAACGTGTCGGGGATGTACAGAGAATGTGTACAGACAGGTACGTTGTGTAGATGAGTATCAGGAGAAGAGTGAGGCATAGCGGTAACCAAGAGCAGACACGGGAGACAAGTAGTTTATATACTATATACCTACCCCGTGTGTTGATACTATAGCTACTCAAGAGAATGGGTACAGTACCTACACGTAGGTACGTTGTGATGTGTTACAGAGAATGCGTACAGCACCACCCTCAGGTCATACGTATGTAAGTATGTACAGTTAGCTAATGATACGTACAAGATAGTATATGCTCGCACTGTCGAAGTGTAATGATAAACAAAGATATACAGACAAAGGTACATGGATATAGTGATACCACCAGAGAATAAGTGTACAGTGCGAAGCAAGAGATTACTTGTGTGACTCGTCACACGCAGAATCTGCGGTACACAGACAGGTAACCCGCTGTGTCCATTGTTACAGAGATATTGCTGTACACACAGGTACGTGCTGATATGATACTATGAGAG